GATCTGGCTTTACCACCATAAGGTGCTTTCTTCCTGATTGAGTTTACAGAGCCAAAGGTAAAACAAAACTAAATCAGATCAAAGTGATTTTAACCATGAACAAAAAAAAAAAAGGTATGCCCTATCAAATGGCCCAGCCCAAAGACACTAAACTGACTGAAGGTGCCAGGGTCCCTTGGTGACAAGTTCCTGGTGTGGCCAATCAGCCAGACTCGGTCCTGGCCTGTCCCTGATGCCAGGAGGTCGGAAAGGGTGAACAGCCCGGGAGAGCGGGGGCAGACGGCTGGGCTGAGCAGTGCCCGGCAGCAGAGGTGAATGATACAACATCCTTCTGAAATACCCCAACCGACTGACAGCAGAAACCTCCTTCTTCCTCCTGCCTGTGTGCTTTGCCAGCCCAGCTCGACACCAGAGGTGTGAAAGGGAAGCGGGTGTGAGGCAGGAGGGTGAGGCAGAGTTCAGTCGGGGGGAGCACCCAGCACCGTGGCACCTGGTGCTGCAGAGTCGGGCACTGCAGCATCCACTGCAGAATCTGGCACTGATGCATCTGGCACTGCAGAATCTGGCACTGCAGAGCCTGGCACTGCAGCATCCATCACTGCAGCATCCATCACTGCAGAATCTGGCACTGATGCATCTGGCACTGCAGAGCCTGGCACTGATGCATCCATCACTGCAGCATCCATCGCTGCAGAGCCTGGCACTGATGCATCTGGCACTGCAGAATCTGGCACTGCAGAGCCTGGCACTGATGCATCCATCGCTGCAGCATCCATCACTGCAGAGTCTGGCACTGACGCATCTGGCACTGCAGAATCTGGCAGTGCAGAGCCTGGCACTGCAGCATCCATCACTGCAGCATCCATCACTGCAGAATCTGGCACTGATGCATCTGGCACTGCAGAGCCTGGCACTGATGCATCCATCACTGCAGCATCCATCGCTGCAGAGCCTGGCACTGATGCATCTGGCACTGCAGAATCTGGCACTGCAGAGCCTGGCACTGCAGCATCCATCACTGCAGCATCCATTACTGCAGAATCTGGCACTGATGCATCTGGCACTGCAGCGCCTGGCACTGCAGCTTCCATCACTGCAGCATCCATCGCTGCAGTATCCATTGCTGCAGCATCCATCACTGCAGAATCTGGCACTGATGCATCTGGCACTGCAGCGCCTGGCACTGCAGCTTCCATCACTGCAGCATCCATCGCTGCAGTATCCATTGCTGCAGCATCCATCACTGCAGAATCTGGCACTGATGCATCTGGCACTGCAGAATCTGGCAGTGCAGAGCCTGGCACTGATGCATCCATCCCTGCAGCATCCATCACTGCAGCATCCATCGCTGCAGCATCCATCGCTGCAGTATCCACCACTGCAGTATCCATCACTGCAGCATCCCTCACTTGCAGCATCCCTTGCTGCAGAGCCGGGCACTGCAGCATCTGGCACTGCAGCCGCCCAGTCCTCCCCAGTGCCATGCCCCGGGGAGGAAGCCCAGCACAGGTTTCAGAGGAGGAGGTGACGTCTTCCTCACCTGACCTTGCGAGACTTGGGCCCTTTCACTGTGTTGCCCCAGGGCTCCCATGGCACCTGCAGCCGGCGCGGGGAGGCTGGGGGTCGCGGCAGACACGGTGCTGAAGGCACCAGCTCAGGGGAACAGGAGTCAAGACCTTGTCCTGGTGTCGCAACCAAACCCTTGCACCTGTGCTTGCCCTCTCCAAGGCAGACCTTGCCTCCTGGGGTGGGGGAGAGCTGCTTTTTATAACCCGTTCTTGGGCAATGGAGCTGGGAGAGAGATGTTTTTTAACGAAGATTCACCCAGGATTTGGAAAGGACCCGACCTCTGAACTCCATCTGCTGGGAAGCAATCAGGGAGGAGATCTGCGTGTGCACTGCCCCGTGTGAGGAGCAGGGGGGATGGAGGGGGGGCAGACAAAGGAGGAAACAATATTTCCAGAGCACTGAATTTTTTCTCTCTAAAATGCAGCAGAGACATTCCCTGAATGTCCAGCTCTTGCATTGGGATCAATTTGGGCCCTTAAATTACGCCTAAGGCAGAGATAAGATTGCATTTTCACTAAATTTTGACTCATGGTCCTTGGACTTGAGTCCCTTTTCTGTGCCCATGCCAGCACAGGAAAGTGGCTTTATGCCAATGGCTCCTATCAACACCAGCCAGAAATCTCAATGTGACTTTCCTCTTTCCAAACACAGCTATCACCAGCACAGGCACAGAAGATAGGTGCTTAGTAAGTCCATTTGCAAGATGAACACGGGGAAGAAAGGTCCGTGGCTGGTGCGAGCCTGGCAGGGCAGGGATCAGCCAGGTACGGACTGATGGGACTCTTAGCTGGTGACTTAGTGGGACAATATCCTTCACCCACACCATCTTCTTGGAGAGAAGCAGTTCTGCCTTCGTTTGTTGCTTGCTCCAAGTGTCACATCACAGTGATGTACTCAGGGTGCCACAATTTCTCCAAGACCCCAGGCTCGGTAGACTTATCAGTGAGGCCAAACTTCACATTTCTCGGCATCACCCACTCTGGCCAACACACAAGAGGAACAGGCTTCTTGAAAAGCTTCAATCAGGGGCTCCACACTTGGAGCTCCTCCCCTAGACCTTGTCCTTTATTTCCATGCCCAAATTGGAATAGACCTTTTGAAAAACCTGGTCCCTGCAATGCCACAACTTACTGCCACTCTGCTTTTCTCCCCACACATTACATCGCTTCGGTGTCCTGCCCCAGCTCTGCAGCTTGCCATGGTCTTACCCCATCGACCCCAGGACAGCTGGTTTTTACCTTTTGTTCAAGGAGCAGTCACTCGTTCTCTTTAATTCCGAAATCTTAAAGGTTTAACCTGCTGTTTGATCTAGGGCAAAGCCATTGATAAGCCAAGTCAAGAACTTGACTCTGTCCGAGACGCTGACATCATTAGCCTGTTTGTTTAAGATGGAATTTAATCATGGGGATATTTTTCCCCTCTATACTTGCCTTGTTTATTATTTTTCCTGATTGCCAGCACTTTCGCTCAGCGGGGGAAATTCATTAAAGAGCTGTGATATAATTGGCTGATTCAGTCTGTCTGATGGCAGGCACGCTGCTTGGCAAGTGATGGAGCTGAGAAATAAAGCTGAGAGAGACTTCTTGCACCGGGAACTCGGGTGGGTTTCTCACCCCTTAGAAGCATCTTGCTGAGCCTGGACCTGGGCTACAAGATATTCACGAGGGAGAACTGGAAATCCAGAGGAGAGCTGTGGGGCTGGGACCTGGGGAAAGGCTGGGAACCTGCTCAGCAACAGCCTCTGAAGGCAGGGACATGACTTGTGCAGAGTGACGTGGGAAAACCAGGGAATGATGGTTTATCAGATGGGCCTCTGGCTTGAGTGTAGGGACTGGGAAAGAGCCGAGGACACTGCATCGCCTCGGTCCGCACCCATCCTCTCACAGGTAAAGCTTGTCATTGCTCTTGGAAGGCTACCTCTAGTGCCAAGGAGTGGAAGGATGCCAGTGTGTGTGTGTCTGCAGAGGGCACTGGATGAAGCACCTGGCCATGCAGGAAGGGGGGCACATCCCTCCTCCAGCTCTGGAGCCCAGACATCCCTCCAAAGACACCTCCTGAGCTTGGGGGGGTGCAGGTCAGAGCCTGGAACACACCATCACTGGAGCTGTTTTTACAGCAAACTGCACTTGACTGCCCCTGGGATCACTAAAGTATCCACTGCAGGAGTGAGGTTGATGACCTCCCTTTCTAAGTCCATTACCTTTTATTTGCATAATGATTCTGTTGACCTAAATTCTCCCAAAAGTTTCGGCTGCCTGCATCATACTTTCCTTCCTGTCCTGGACTGCTGGGTCACTCTGCTACTTCTTACCCACATCTTCCAGCCCCAACACCAGGGTACCTGCTCATCAGTGAGCACTGACCTTAGTCCTACGGATGGACATTTTGCTCATCCTGGTTCCACCAACCTCGGTGTGAAGGTGTGCACTGGCTCCAGTGGTACTCACAGTGCCAAGAGAGGGGAGAGGAGGATGTGGTGCATCCAAATCACTCTGTAAGCTCTCGGCAACCTGGATGTTTCTTGATTCATTCTCCTGCCTGAATCACCAGTTTTCTTCCACCCCCTCTTCTACTCCTGTGTTGGGCAATGACCCACTTAGATACACGCCATACCATAAATAATTACCAAGATCCTCATTTTATATCTGACCACTTCCTCCCTCCACCCCCAGCCTCCCCAGACCATAATGATTCTCCCCTCTTCCCAGGTATTGCTGGTCATAGTAAAATAAGGGTGCTCTGAAGTTCATCATCTCTCTTTGGTAAGACCCAGATACTGGGCAGGACTAGTCCATCAGGATGTTTTGGCACCTTCATCACTGAAATGAATTGGAAACGGTTATCTTTCTGCACATCACTTCCTAGAATAAACCCAGGACTCGTCCCCAGCAAAGGAGAAATAGGAAAGGTGCTGGATGCAGCTGAGAGCCCTCGGCAGCACGTCGGAGGGAAACTGCCTTGAATCACGGTGCCAGTATCTGCCATTGCAAACTGTGTCAGGGCTGCCCAGCCTCGCGAAGCCGTGCCAACCCCGTGGTGAAACTCAGGCTTGAGAAAGGTCAAGTGACTCGCCCGAGGCAAAAAGGCAGTCTCTGGCAGAGCCGGGATTAACACCCATGCTCATCTGCCAGGCAATGCGGGATGCGCCCCGGCCCCTCCACACGGCATCGCTCATTAGCATCACCCCAAAATAACTGGTAAAAACTCCCCGGGCCGGGGAGCAGCAGCCCCCGGTGCTGGGTGAAGCCACTCCCAGGGACCTGCCCCTGAGCCACGGGGAAACTATTTAGGGTGGAGATGTTCGGGGAGGGCTCCCAGACGCTGGAGGTGTCCAGTCTGTTATACCGCAGGTGGGGCCAGCTCCAGTCACATTCTTGGCTTTGCTTTTTCTTTCTATTTTTTTTTCTGGGAAAAATTTAAATGATCCAGAGATGAACCACGCCAGGCCTCGCTATGTCATCGAACGCCCCGCGTATTCGGTCAGCCTCTTCGATGAAGAGTTTGAGAAGAAAAGCAGAAGTTACCCCATCGGGGAAAAATTGAACAATCTCTTCAGGTAACGTAGAATGTTGTAGCTGGGGCAAGCGCCAAGCAGATTGGGTCTGGAACTGGGATACAATTTGGACCTGGGGATATAGTTCCCATTTTCCTCCTGGGAAACCTTCTCCATGGTCTTCAGGGCTTTGATGGATGGAAGGCAGAGGAGAAATGCAAATTGTACTGAAGCAAGTGAAACTGGTTGCTCTTTTCACTGCCTCAGCTGTGACGCCACAGGGCAAATAAGCGGAACACTTTGCACTACGTGCATTTGGGAATTGGGTTTCTGTGTTCCAAATATTTTTTTTTTATAATGAGAAAGGTATAATTGGTGATGTAGATATGAGTGTGTGGATTAGTTCTTTAAGCTTTCCAGATGGGATTTCCTTTTATCAAGTTTCTTGTTAAAAACAGTACTAAATTTCTTTAAAGAAAGATTATTAATCCTGCTGATCTCTGCCTTGGAAATCTATCTCCATTCCTTGGAAAAAGGAAGGCAGTAGTACAGGAAAGAGAGAACACACATGTTAGCAGGCAGAGATGTTGCATTTGCCATTCCAAAAGCAACCTTCTTTCAGACACACCTAGGGTTTTTTGACCAAAGACCTGAAAAAACTTGTCTTTGGCTCCATGCAACTGCCCCACGGATCTCTGAGCTGTTTCCTCTCTACAGCTCACCCATCTCATGGGTATCAGGACCCTGGGGAGCTAAATCCTTCACTCTGTGCTGGTTCTCCTTCCAGCTGTGGCAGCACTGGGGACCTCCCAGCAAGTCAGGAACATCCCCTCATTAATCCTCCATGGAATATCCAGCTAGTTAACTGCAAGGGCCTGGCACCCGCAGGGAAGGGCTGCACACCATAAACTGGGCTCAGGATTTGGTGTGGGAGAAAGATTGAGACACTCGTACAAACACCCTTCCTTGCTCACTTCCCAGCTCACTTCCTTCCTTCCTTCTTTACTTATTTGCATTTATTTTTTTTTTTTTGGTCTCCTCTAGATGTTCCACTTCCAGATTAAAACACACCTTCTTTAGCCTATTCCCAATACTTGTGTGGCTTCCCAAGTATAAAATTAAGGACTACATTTTGCCTGATGTTCTCGGCGGGCTCAGTGCGGGGACGATTCAAGTGCCACAAGGTGAGACACAATGACTTTCTTGGTCACTGAGAAGGGACAGCTCTTTGCCAGTTCAAGTCAAGGTCTGCAGATGGCAGCTGGTGTCCAGCCCTGGGGGATTAGCTACCTTTACTGCTGACATGTATAAATCCAAGCTCTACCTTCTCCTTGGTTGTCCCTGTGGTGCATTCCCTGCCCTCTTTGGCCTCTCCTGCCTAGAAAGCAGCAGTTCGTGGTGGCCACAGCACCTTCTTGGAGCTGATTGTGAGTGTGAGCAGGGCCAGGGGCTGACACCAGCTGCACACACCTGGGTGACCTGCCCATTCCCCTTGTGTTTTCCAGGGATGGCCTTCGCGCTGCTGGCCAACCTGCCTCCCGTCAACGGGCTCTACTCCTCCTTCTTCCCCTTGGTGACATACCTCTTCCTTGGTGGCATCCATCAGATGGTCCCAGGTGAGAGTCTGCAGAGCAATTGTCTGCACAAGGCAGTTAAATGTGGGCTGGGAACACTCCATGTGCCCCAGAATAGAGATGTTTGGCCATGTTTGGTCCATCAGGTGTTTAGAGGATCCCTGATCCTGGCTGGAGAGCGGGATCTCACCCCAATGAACCGCTGCCGCATCTCGCCGCGGGGCTGGCTGCGGTGATGGGCTGGGTGTCTGGGTCCAGACAGCCCAACCTGCCCGAGTGCCTTTCAGGACAGGACGCTCTCTAGAGAAAACTCCTGACATCACTGTGTTGTGCTGTAGGTACTTTCGCAGTCATCAGCATTATTGTTGGCAACGTCTGCAATGAGCTGGCTCCGGAGTCGGACTTCCAGTACTTCAACCATACTACCAACGAGACCAGCGTGAATACCACAGCCCTGGAAGCGGCCAGGCTGGAGATCTCTGCCACGTTAGCCTGCCTGACAGCCATCATACAAGTAAGGACTCACTGCACCACCTGTAGTGTGTGTCCTCTGGCCAGCGCTGACCCACACGGGCTCTCACCCCGGGGTGGAGATGCTCAAAGAGGCCCCACTTCTAAGTGGATGATGCCTCAGCGGCATCAAAGGATGGCTTTGGGGGGGGAAATTCTTGCTGTGAAATTCTCTGAATGGACTAGCCAAGGGTGAGGCCAGCCCCTGGGGCAGGATGGCAGCTGGAGATGACTCCCCACCACCCCACAGCTCTCCTCTCCCCGTCCCTGCTCCAGCCCAGCTCTCGCCGTGGCTGCGTGGGAGGGATGAGTCCTCCACACCTCACCCTCCCTTCTAACGCCGCCTTGTCTGTCCTATCCCTAGCTCTGCCTGGGATTCGTGCAGTTTGGCTTTGTCGCTATCTACCTCTCCGAGTCTTTCATCAGGGGCTTCATGACAGCGGCAGGGCTGCAGATCCTCATCTCCGTGCTCAAGTACGTCTTCGGCTTGACAGTCCCATCTTACAACGGCCCCTTAGCTATCGTCTATGTAAGTGGGTGCTCTGGGCAGGGGCCTTCCCTGCACCTCCTTCCCCAGCGACCACCACACCGTAGGCACCACTGCCACCCATGGAAGGGACAGGGGGGCTCGGAGAAAAGGGTGGAGAGGGGGGGAAATAAGGCTGTGCAACCCTCCCAGCCCACACACCCACGTTGCGCCATTGCCTTCCCCATACAGTATTATCTGAGCCCTCCTCTGCTAGTTTGTAATTAGAAAGAATGAAATGGGTCTGGGATTTGGGGAGAATACAAACTGTGTTGCTTTACAGCAGGAGTCTTGCACAATTTTTAGCAACAGAAACTTTTCCTGTGAGCAGGTTTACCCATTCCAGGGCTTTCCTGCATCTTCCGTGGATGCAGCCTCCCATGGATGCAGCTAGAACCTCATTTAACCAGAGGGCACAGACCCAGGGCTGGTTGCTGGTCTCTCAGCAGCAGGGTTTCTAGCACTTTTCACCCATCTCAGGGTGTTTGCAGTGGTAACAAGTGTTCTCTGTTGTGCTGTCCACGTTGTCCAGAGTCTCTGGTTCTCCATGACACCTTCTCCTCTTTTCTCCCCTTCAGACATTCATTGATATTTGTAAAGGTCTGCCCCATACCAACGTGGCCTCCCTGGTCTATGCCTTGGTCAGTGCCGTGCTCCTGATCATCGTCAAGGAGCTCAACCTAAAGTACATGAAAAAGATCCGGATGCCCATCCCCATGGAGATCATCATCGTAAGTGATGCACCAGCTGTCCCTCAGACCCTCCAGGAGGAGACAGTCCCTCACCTTACGGCCCTGGGACACCCACTTCTGCTCATCATGTAGAAATGACAGTGAAAATGATGTGATCCCCACATCATCTGGGGTCAGAAATTGGGCCACCCTCACAGAGGATACCTCTGACCCCCACCTCATCCCTGTTAAACTGTACCTGCATCCTGGTGATGCTGAGGATGAGGAATATAACTCATTTTGGGGAGGTTTTCTCTTTTCCTAGCCCAAATCCGGTGCTAAATTTCTACTGTCAGCCCCAGGAGCACAGCAAGCTTAGTCCTTCTGAGAGAGCTCATGCTCTTTGCACTTACTGCTCTTTTATTCTCTGTACTTTCAGGTAATAGTTGCGACTGCAATCTCTGGCAGCTTTAAGATGCCCGAGAAGTACCACATGCCAATCGTTGGGAAGATCAGCATGGGGTAAGTGCATGTGCAGGTCTGACACAACTTCCAGACAATTTCCCTTCCTCCTGCAGTCTGGAAAACACCTCACTCTTCCCTGCTGGATGACAGTCCCCTTCCAGGACTGTCAGGCAGCGCTGCTGCGCCCTGTTTCACAACTGCCACCATCCACTCGAGCTGTGCACGGCGTAGACGTGGATTATGTCATTCCCAAACACACAAGCTCCTCACCTTCTTCCCCAGCCTCTGGACACCAGTGTCACCACTGCTTCTCGCCTCCTCTTTGAGTGCAGGTTCCCAGAGCCCACCCTGCCCATGGTGGACAAGTGGAAAGACATGGTTGGCACAGCTTTCTCGCTCGCCATCGTGGGCTACGTGATCAACCTGGCCATGGGGAGGACGCTGGCAGCCAAGCATGGCTATGACGTGGACCCCAACCAGGTAACGCTTGGTCTGGAAGGACGTGGGCAGGGACCGGTCCCCTCGCTCTCAGGCGTGAAAGGAAAAACTGGCTGCATGAATGGGAAGCTTTCAACTGGCTTCTGCTTAAAACAGGGGGGCTGCTCCCCTGCACGTGGGCTCAGGTGGCAGCTTGCCATGGAGGGGTCGAAAGGACAGATGGCAGATCCATCTCCCATGGATTGGAGAGAGCCTGCAAAAAGGAAAAAAAGCCTTAGGCTGAGCTCTCTGCTTTGCTCTGCCTCCAGATCGGAGGCTTCAGCCCCGAGTGCTGGCACCGACGGCATTTTTACAGGTTGTTGGAGCACAACGAGGCACATGTGTTTCTCAGTGAGCAGAGAAAGACCTGGATTCCTGGTGTGTCACCTAGATACTGTGAGAGGCAGGACATTAAATAATCCTCTTTTGTCATCACGGGCACAGTGGCAGCTTTCAATAACAGCCACGCATACCACATGAAGCCCTGCCCTTAGTGTGTCAACAGATGACAACGTGTTTATGTGGAATTGTGCTTCCAGGTTTCCCTGCTATACCAGAGCCTGTCCCAGCTCTTACTGGAAGGAAAGGGTTTGGGACACACTGGTCCCTTCCCTGGCCACACAAACCCTAAATTCAGGCACCTGCACTCCTCCCTGGTAGCTCTCAGGCATTGGCAGGGCAGGAGGGGCAGTTGTCCCTTCTGATGACCATGTTCCCCCATCTCCACAGGAAATGCTGGCCTTGGGCTGCAGCAACTTCTTTGGATCCTTCTTCAAAATCCACGTGATCTGCTGTGCTCTCTCCGTCACTCTGGCCATCGATGGGGCAGGAGGGAAATCACAAGTTAGTATCTCCTCCTCCTCCTCCTCTCTTCCCTACATGACCCTACTTGACCACAAACCCCTGTAGCTGCAGCACGCTGCCAGGTCTGGAGAAGCTCCACACACAAGTGCTTCACGTTGCTGCTGTTAAAAGCAGAATTTTCTCCCTTCCCAACCCCTCTTTGTTCCCTGGATGGTTCTTTGGATCGGTCAGAGATGTAGGGCTGTAAATCTGCATTCCCAGACTGGCTCCCTCAATTGAGCAGAGCTACCACATGCCGGAAGCTCGGGGTTATCTATGAGATCTGCAAAATCCCAGCCCATTGCTCAGATGCAATCGTCTGCTCACGTAAAATACAGCAGTGACCAGTCGTGCCGTTGGCTGAAGTGGTGGGGAGAGGAAAGACCCAGAGGGATTTTAGGAAGACCTGGATGTTTGCTGAAGCGATTTCTTTCTTTTTTGCAGGTAGCATCTTTCTTTGTGGCCTTGGTAGTTATGGTGACCATGCTGTCTCTGGGGATCTACCTCGAACCTCTTCCCAAGGTAACACAAACATCTGCACAAACAGCGTGGCCGTTGCGTCACGTTCTCCTCACACCCAAGCGCAGGCACAGCCTGGCTCCAAAACCCCTTGATGCACAGCACAACTTGTTCCTGACCTGCTGTCCTGTTTGCACCGAGTCTTTGGAAGCAAAAATAGTCTAAGTGATCACGCTCAGATCCAAGTGAGATCTTTGGGCGCGTCACCTTTTTCTATTCCCTTGTGGTAACCGGACTGAGGAGGGCAGACACTGCAGAAAGCATCTCCTGCAGAACCTGGCACATCCACCCTGCACACCCACGCCCCAGCTGATACCATCCTCTCTCCTCCCCAGTCCGTCCTGGGAGCCCTCATCGCGGTCAACCTGAAAAACTCCCTCAAGCAGCTGGCTGATCCCTTCTATCTGTGGAAGAAGAGCAAGTTGGACTGCGTGAGTACCTGGGGATGGAGGGGAGGCAACCACTGGGCGAGCAGGCTCACCCCCCGGCAGGTTTTGGGGGGCAGGAGGGTGGTATAAGTCCCCTATAGAAGGTGGGTTTCACTCTTTTGGGGCAATCGTGCTTCCAACCCCTCACCAACGGTGTCCTGAGCAGCGGTGGAGCCCGTCCTGCCCAGCTGAGCACTCTCACACTTAGTGCACGTATCGGAGAGGCCTGAACTATTACCTGCTCTGTTTAAATGCCAATCAACCCCGGGAGCCTGTTTGCCCAGAACTAGCCAAACCGGCCCTGCTCAATATCTAGGAGTCATGACTTAAAAACTCACACAATAGCCCTCCAGGGTGAGGAGAGCCCTTCACAGCGATAAGGACTCCAGGCACTGGTTGATGTATAAACCCAGGCAGGGGGTGCGGGGGAGTGAGAACGGAATTTGGAAATGTCTGACATAAAAAGACAGTGTTTGAACAGGACTCCCACGGGCTGAGTGGTGTGTGTGGACACTGAGCCAATATCCTGTCAGGTCCCGACAAACCATCTTATCCGAGAAATCGGGAGTCCAAAGGGGCTGACCTGAGTCATCAAGAGCTTTCCCAAAATACTGTTCAAACAGGGGCTGGAGAAGAGATGGGTTGGCAGCCCCGGCAGAGAGGTCACAGGGGTGGGATCATGACGTGAAGGCACACGTCAGCACAGGCCATGAGCCACAAGAAGTGGTCCATGCTGAGGATTGAGCCCTGCAGAGTGACCGGACCAGGGATGGGATGTGCAAGGTCTGAGCTGATGCAGTTCAAGTGAGAAACAGCAGAGTCACTGATGGGAAGATGCGATTCTTCATCAGAAGAATCAAGAACAAGATTCTTCATCTTGTTTATGGCAACTTAAGCACATCTCTGCATGGGTTCTGCTGGTGCCTGCTGGGTAGGATGGAAGGTCTGGGTTGGCTCTGGCCATTCGAGTGAGGTCAGGTGAAGTTACTGCCCTTTATCAGAGCTCCAAGAAGGGAGCACAGACTCACCCTGTGGGGTCCTCAGCCCCCAGCCCAAAGTCTGGGCAAACATCTGAGAGGACAGGGGTTGAGCAGAGATGCGTGGTGATGCCTGGAACACCCTGCCAGGTTGTCTCTGCCAGACGTGGTCAGAAACCTCTTTGTTTTTGCCTTTTGTGTGAATCATCTGTCCATGGCACAGCCAGACCCACTGCCCCGATGGTGCTGTGTTTCCACTGAGCTGGTGGAACAACGCTCTTGGTACCAGCAACCATGGACAACCTACAGGTGCAGGGAGCGTGGGGACCAGGCAGATGCCAATGGAGTGAACTGCATTCCCCTGACCTTAATCTTCCTGGAATTTGAACTAGATTCAGTGTCCTGTCCCAAAATGGGGAACACCGCTTCTGGGTGATGTCAGACCTCATTACCTCCAAGTCTGATTGGTTTTCAGTCCTAACTGCAGGGATCACTCCACAGATACAGCCCAGTGCGAAGTATGGACAGAGGGAAACCCTTACTTGTCATTTATATGCACTATCAATATAAACAAAGATGCTGAAGTCATCAAAATTACGCTGATTTCTCCAAGGTCAAAGTTAGGTTTTATCAGTCTTGGGGATGGGATTATAATAACCCAATAATGATTCTCAGAGGGCATGTTTATATGCTTAGGCAGGACTAATTTCATGTGGAGGGAGACGCTCGACCGCTAATATATAAAAATGACAGATGACAGAGCTCTGAGCTGAGAGGTGGAGCAGGTTTTGCTGTGCTCTGTCATACTTTGTCATGGAATCTGCTCTGTGCTCGGGTCATTTATCGTAGGTGCTCAGAGGGTTTTCAGATAGATGCTCATTCCTTTTGAAAGGCTCTGACTGACAGCGGGAGCTTCCTTGGGGCTTGGGAGCAGTTACGGAGCAGCAGATGGGCTGATCTGCAGGAGCCCTTTCTCAGCTCATGAGGCTGATGCTTTTTGAGCCGACCGAGCGGTGCGGGTGTTCATGCAGCTGGGAAGAAACGCACTGGCTGCTTTTATGGCTGAAAAACTGGGGCTTCTGGCAAGTTTCCCAGCAACGATGTTTCACACGAAAGCGTGCAATAAACTGTATGAGTAGAATAGCTGCACAATTCAGCCCTTGGTCTTTTGATCCTCAGCTGTGTAGTTCTTCGGGTCCAGAATATCAACACGGAGCCACTTTTCCATCCATCGCTGTGCTCCAGCCCCTGGTAGAGTAAAATGATCTTCCGTGCTCTTCTCTTTCTGCAGCTGGTCTGGCTGGTGAGCTTCTTCTCCGCTTTCTTCCTGAGCCTTCCCTACGGAGTCGCTGTGGGAGTGGGATTTTCCGCGCTGGTCGTGATTTTCCATACCCAGTTGTAAGTACCGGGGTAGCTCCAAGAACCCAAAGAGAAGGAAAATCTCCCAGTTGCAGAATCAACGACAGATTATTCTTATAACCGACCTCTGGCCCGTGTTTCGAAGGAACGTGTGGCAGGAGCCTGGGGGAGTGCAGGTGTCCTCCCCGGCCCCTGGAATGTGCAAACAGGAATGGCAGGCGCTAATTTACTGCCTGCATTCCCCCTCCCGCGCGCGGTTACCCCTGTGCACATCCCAAGGCAGGGGGAAGTCTGAAGGTATTTACTCCGAGCACGAGAAGGTACCTGCATAGTTCCCAGCAGAAAGTCCTGCTCATGAAAAGAGCGAGCCTCGGACAAGCGCAGAGTCTGGTGTGAAGTTTGCACACCCTTTTTAATCCATCAAAGCCCTTTATTAATATTTCCCAGTCTGGGATCTCAAAGTGCTGACTTATTTTTTTTTGCCCCGTTAGACTCTGCAGGGACGAAATCTAAGTATTTTCATAAAGCAAATTTTCAAATCCTGGTATGGAATGTGAAGAGAAGCAGTTTTCTTCCCCTGCAACGTTTAATTCTGGTCACCTCTTTTCTCCTCAGCCGTAACGGCTCTGCCCTGGGCCAAGTCACTTCCACCGACATCTACAAGAACCCCAAAGCCTACAACAAGGTAAGGAGAGCTAAAGCACTCTCAGAGAAAATGCTGCTCTTTGTCACTGGTCCCCAGTTTGATCCAGACCCTCCACGGTTCTGTCTCAGCAAGGCTGTTTGCTGGTTGTTTCAGGGGCAGCAGAACAGCTACTCTTCCATTCGACCTTCCCAGTTACCTGCTGCCCAAACCCACCCTGTACCACCCCCCACAACCTGTCAGGTCTGTTGAGCTCTCATCTCTGTTGCAGGTACACGAACTTAATGGGATTAAAATCGTGACCTACTGCTCGCCACTGTATTTTGCCAACTCAGAGATATTCCGCGAGAAGATTATAGCCAAGGTGAGCAACGTCCTAAGAAATCTCCACTTGCAGCCAATCCCCAGTGGCCCTTGCTCTCTCCTCTATTGCTACGTGGAGACAATTAAGCTTAGGATGATGGCAAAAGATGGTCACATCCATCCTCTCCTCTTCCATCCTTTCATCCCTGAACTTCAGGACTGTTTCTACACCTCATTTTAGAGGTTATGTCTGACTCCTGGCAGGTATCCTCCTCCCAGCTCTGCCAAAAGCAGTCATCCTGCTACTGTAATCTCTCCTCCCTGCAGGTGCAGGTACCCTGAGTTGCTGAAGATGTTGTTTGGTTGCCATCAGGATCACCTTACTCTGTCGTACAGCTGGTGCTGTCCTCCTGTGCCACGTGCCACAGGCTGGGAAATAGCAGGAAAGAAATAGCAGCCCCCAATTTCAGGGCTGAACAGACTTTTTCAAAGAAAATTCTCTCTCTTTTCCACAGACAGGGGTGGATCCTGGCAAAGTGTACTTAGCCAGGAAGAAATATGTGAAACAGCAGAAGAAGGGGACAGCACAACCACCAACAAAGCTACCGAAGTTCTTATTGAGGCAGAACAAGGTAACTCAGTTTGGGTTTGGGTGAATGAGACCCCAAGTCCCCATCAAACAGCTCCTCTTGACATAGGATTTTCTGCCCTGTTTTCCCAGCCACTTCTACCAACTTTTCCTCCTTTCCTTCCCACCCACAGCTCCATTACTCCCAATAGCCAAAACTGTAAGATGCAGGAGCACTGGAAAAGGCTGGGAGCAAGAAAGCCGTAGAGATGGCTAGAATGGAAACACGGGGAACAATTTGCTAGAAACTAGGCTCGCCCTCTCTCTCTAAGGAAACACCTATGTCAGCATTTCAGTTCAAAAGTGCCCTTTTGAAGCCCAATTCCCACTCATCCCAGCTTCACTTCGTTTGCATTGCTGAGCAGTCTCGAAGCATGTGAACAGGAATAATTTAACTCCAGCCCTAAGGGATATTCAGCCCAGCACCGGGCTGGAATTAGTCCAAATTCAAACACCACATGCCACTGAATACTTCAGGTGCCTTCACACGTCAGCATCTCAGCTTGTGCCCTGCCCTGACTGTGCATTTCTGCTTTGCTGTAGACCTTGTCTTTGCAAGAGCTCCAGAAAGACTTCGAAAGCACCTCTCCCACCGATACCAACAACAACCAGACGACTGCCAACGGCGCCAGCATCTCCTACATCACCTTCCGTCCACCCACTAACAGTGAGGGACAAGTGCACACCCCCAGTGAACTGGGCAGCACCATGACCCTGCAAGGAAGCACCCTGAGCGTCCTGCCGAGAGCAGATGCTGACCCTATGATGACAGGACCGCCCTACGTCAACTTTCACACCATCATCCTGGACATGAGTGGAGTCTGTTTTGTTGACCTCATGGGCACAAAAGCACTGGGCAAGGTTAGTTCTGTACAACAAACACAGCCAAGCAACGTCACCCAGGTACCTTCTACTCTCTTGGGCAGCTCAGATAAAGATGTTTACCTTCCTTCTGTGTGACTTTCTCCTTCAGCATCTCCAGGGCACGTGTAAAGCCCTGGATAAAAGACTTTATCTATAAACACAAGGCTGGAGCAGCAGTGTTATTAATCCTCTCTCTCCCCTTTCATCCCTTCTAGTTGTGTTCCAGTTACCAGAAGATTGGGATTAAAGTGTTCTTGGCAAACGTGCATGGTAAGAATCCACGAAGAACACTTTTCCATGTGATTTTTCCCCATTTACATGCTCTGGAGAGATCTTTTTGTGTTCTTTATGCAAACTGTGTGAGCTGTCAGCCTTTTGTTAGACCGAGCCAGAACAGATGAAAGAAGAGAACAGAAGAAAGGAAGGAGGAACGCTGTTCTCTGTGTGTGAAATGGGTTCTTTATTTGGGGAGTGATAGGACTGGAACATCTCCACATTCAGCATGTAGAAAACTAGATCTCCACACTCTCATTTCTGCAGCAAACCTCCTTCTTCCCTGTGCATCCCGGCCCTGCTTTAGCTCCGGGGGCTACTGTTAGCCATGTGCACTTGCAAGGGCTTCCTTCTTTGGTCTCCTTCTTCTTCATGTGCTTTTCCTTTCTTCAGCCCAGGTGTACAACGACATTAGTGCAGGTGGAGTCTTCGAGGAAGGAGGCCTGGACCGAAACCACATCTTCCTGACGATCCACGACGCTGTTCTGTTTGCACTGGCAAACAGCAGAGAAGTTGTCCACCCGCCCATCTTAGAGGAGGTACATGTGCTCCCCGGTCTTCCCCCAGCTCACAGTGTGGTATTATTAGATTTACATGCTGCGTCAGCACAAAGGAAGAATAACAGCTTAATACTGCACCTAATAAAGTTTCTTGTTTATCTCAAGTGGTAAAGGTCTAAATCCAACAAATTATTCCATCTTCTAATTCTCGCCTATGGACCAATTGCCTACTGATTGAATTGATTTCAATGGAAAATCTGCAAACCCCTACCTGGGAGATGGGTGTTGTCCCAGCCCAGAGAGGCCAAAAGAGCAGTTCCAGCACCACGGCCCCAGTTTGCTGTTGGATGGAACATGCAGCTGCACACAGAGGCAGAATTTGGCCCTGGGAAATGAAGACAAAGCACGTGCCCCTGCCCTTGATCAGCCCCGGCATCCATGAGTGCTTCCCTTGGTGGGAGGAGAAAAAGGAATGGGGCACATGCTGACAACACAGGGTGAGACAGGCCATTTCTCCAAATAGGGGCTGGTTTATTGCATGATAATTGGAGTTGGAACGAGGGCAGTGGTGGCCGGTTATCTCATAAGAGTAAGTTAAGGTACCTCATATCTCGGCAGAGAGATATGTAAATGCCAGCTCAGTCAGAGCAGATAAAAAATCAAAGCAGGATTCCTTCTGTGCCCCTTCTTCCTGGGCATTTCCCTTTGGACATGTGTGAAGTCTTCAGCCTGGCTTAGTGATTTTTTCCATTCCTTTCAACCCCACACTGTGTTAATTTGTGGATTTGATTCTTTCCCACACAGAGGCCAAATCAGACAGAGCTCTCCATCTACGAGTCTGCGGACGAAAGCAGCACGGAGTTCAAGAACTTGGAGGAGGTTAGTCCTAGTGCCAGGGGTCACTTCTTCAGCTGTGGAGTAAGGTGGAAATCAGAAGTTGCGGTTGGGATTGCTTAGGTGGGGAGTCCCCCGTGCCATTGCCAGGCAAACTGCTAGCAAGAGTAACACTTTGAAAAGTTAGCTGCAAAAATAATTTAAAATCCCTTCCATGGGGAGCCACTTCTTATTCCAGCTGTGGAATAAGGTGGAAATCAGAAGTTGTGGTTGGGATTGCTTAGGTGGGGAGTCCCCCGTGCCATTGCCAGGCAAACTGCTAGCAAGAGTAACACTTTGAAAAGTTAGCTGCAAAAATAATTTAAAATCCCTTCCATGGGGAGCTCTGGCAGGCACCTGGCCGAAGAAGCAGCTGGGAAACCCCCACGGGGGAAACCTTTCATCATTCTGGGCCACAGAGCTCAGGTTCACAGTCAGACCCGTGGCCTCCACACACTGGCACGGACTTGGAGAACCAGGTTCAGCTCAAGCTCAAAAGAAGGGTCAGCGGTGAAGTTTTCAGCACGGACTTTGTTACCACTGAAGAGATTTGCACCCGCTGAACCCAGGTCCCTGGGAGGAGATACCTTCCAAGGGTGACCTTCCCCATCCTGTCCCTGCAGAGTTGGAAGCTGAGCACCCTTTCAAGCTCCAACAGGGTAGGTTTAGATTGAACATTAGGAAAGAATTTTTCACCGAAAGAGTGGTCGGGCATTGGAACAGGCTGCCCAGGGAGGGGGTGGAGTCCCCATCCCTGGCTGTGTTTAAGGGCCGTTTAGATGCAGTGCTGAGGGACATGGTGTAGGGGAGGACTTTGTAGAGTAGGGGAGATGGTTGGACTTGATGATCCCAAGGGTCTCTTCCAACCTAGACCATTCTATGATTCCCTCGTGGAGGGAGGGTTGGGAAGGGTTGGGGTTTCTGGTGGCATTTCTCTGTGTGACCAAATGTCTGCTCAGTTGCGTGGCTGGGTTTGTGCCACGGCGTCAGCCCTAACCCAGTGTGCCTTGTGTGCCCTTTAGGAGATGTTTGGAAGCATGTTCCACTCAGAGACGCAGACAGCTCTGTGAGTGCACAGGGAGCCTCAGCGTGCGGGCAAACCCTCCCGAACAGACTCCTCTCTCCCCTCCCTCGGTGAAGAGCTGCGCCTCTACCTGGGGATACAATAAGTTTGCAAAGCAAGAGGCCATCACACCTCTTGAACTGATAAATTCCTCCCTCCTTTCTGCTCCGCTTCTGGGATTCAGAGCAATGGACTCTGGAGCAGGCAACAGAAACCTATGGAAGCAGGAACTCAGGAAATGCCATCTCATTAATTACAGAAGAGAAGCGAGTTCATTTGAAGGCAGGTGCCTTTAACACATGGGACAATTAGTCACCATTGCCAAGTGCTCTCCTTTGTCTGCCATAACCACACTCTTCTGCCCACGCAGACATGACGCAATTTGGGCATCCCCGTTCTCGCCTTTCCCTCTCCCTCTTTTCCCGACACAAGCAAACATTAAGAGCCTTTCACGGCTTTGTTGCAGGACCAAAAGCAAGTCTTGCAAGTTGGGGAGACACAGCTTTGTAAGGTAATGCTGTTCTGAAGCGTGCACTGCCCTGCGGGGGGTCTGCACAGCAAGTGCAAACCCCAAGTTTCCCCCCTGGCACCAGCCCTGCCTCTTCTGTGGGTCCCCCTTCTCGGACCCCTCCGCCGCTCCTTCTGTGTCCCCCAAACTGCTGCCTCACACCTCTGCCATATTTCTCATCCCCCAAAGACCTCCATACTCTATCTCAGCCAGGCTACTTTCTGGTTCACATCTATTTTTTTCTTACAAATAGGACGAGTTTGTAATCAGAAAGAAGGGTTCCTTGTTACTGTGTTACTGCCGGGCCAGTGGGTTGAGTCCGTGTTCAAAGGACCCAGGGTCTGGTTCAAATCCCCTCTGAAGTTTTTTAGGGATCTTTCTACGGACTGAACAGCGTTTCAGATAAAGCTCTTAGACTGTGAGTGGCATGAAAGCATTCACCCCAAGGGTGTTCCGACTCTTCCCATCCTCCTCTTGACGGGAACAACTAGAAGATTTAGTCCAGAGCATGGATGAGTGCTTCGGGGAGATACCTTTTTCCCAAATCATTTTGATCACAAGTAGCAAATTCAGGGACAGGGAAGGAAGCCCCTCCCACACACTTTTCATAATGCCTCAGACTCAGAGCAGTAAAACTGAAATTAGAGCGTATTTTATGCCTGCAACTAGGGAACAGCCCAAGTGACAGGCTGGGCTACGCAGGGCTTCCAGTGACAAGCTCTCAAATGGTCACTTGTGCAGCAAGAGACAACTCTTGTACAGTACGTGATATTTCCATAACAATTCCCTACTATGTGCTTGATGATTTTCATTAAAATTCACCACAGACTGACGCCACCAGGACCATCTACCTCTCAGGCACAGATGCCTGCCTCACTAACCCAGAGACAGACAGCTGAGATCTTAATCATTTCTAAAAACCTGACGTTCTTTTATATTTGAGTGATGCTAATAACAACTGCTATTTTAGTTTCCCTCGCTGATGCCTTCCCTCCTCACCCAGTGCTGATGTTGTGACAGTAATGACAAGATGACAATATATAGCCTGAAAAATCTAAGCATAAGCCAAGGGTTAGAGACCCTTCTTCAGTGCATTTCAAATATGGCTTTTATGAAAATAAGGTTATAAAAAATTTAAGATAAAGACATGTACTGGTATGTCTTCAACTGCAATGAGAACAATTTCTTTTGTTGGAATTTCAAATCTTCCTACCAGGTATTTCCAGCACTCGGCTAAAATGCAAGAATCTACAAGAAAAGCTGAATAGTAATGGAAGTAAAACTGGAGAGTCTGTTATCTTTCCATGAATGCAAAAAATAAAGAGTGGCCTTAATAATAAAAGTAAATTATATTTTTAAAGGTTATTTCTATTTTATTACTTGAAAAAAATTGAAAATATTAGCAAGCTTTAATGTACAGTTTTGAAGTAGGTATACATTATTGAGCTGATTCACTAGCAAATTGCTAGAAGGAGAGAAAGTGGGGCTCTCCTACAGCTCCCAGATGTCTCATTTTTAAGGAAAACAGAGCTTCATGAACCATCATAGCTAGACAGCCATTAAAGGAAACATCAGGACCCTGCCAGTTTGGTTTTATGTAACACCTCATTAACTAAACTAAGTCACCATTTCTCTACCTCAGTTTCTGATTATGTGGTGCAGGAGAGAGTAATAAAACCAAAGGAGGTTAGTTTCCAAAAGGAAAACCCCGCTACCTAATGTTTATTACTTATTTTAATCTTAGACAGCAGTGATTTTTCCAGAACCATGTATAGCTTGTTCTATAAGGTAAAATCAAGAGATTAATTCTCTTAAATTATCTTTGAGGGTGATTACTCACGGTCTTTTGTTACTGCCTGAGAACTCCTTTTACTTGCTCATTTGAAAAAAAAGCAACAAGGAAATTGGTGCAACGGAACGAGAAACTGTCCTACAGTAGCTAATCAATATTTCTGCATCTCTGAGGTGGCATCACATAAAATGAGGAAAATTCCAATTTCCAGTCCTTCATTCAAGGTTAATTACAGGAGGCTGATTTCACCATCTCGAGGCCTGACAGGCCAAACGCAGGAAGCCTCAGAGCAACAGACCATGTATAAAAAATAGATTGTATTTCTTGAAGTTCCTACAAGCATAATGGATGGGATGTTAAAAGAGAGGGTTGAAAGTAGCTGCACCGATTCTGCTCTGCGATTCCGGTGACCCGGGAAGAAGGATACTTCATTTCTGTAGCCACGGGCCAATTCTGGCAATAAGTGTAACATTGATGGGCAAATGGCATTGCTTGGAAGAACAATGTGGCCCGTTCAAAGCCTTAATTTCCAAGTGCCCAGGCAAGAAAATTAGGGAAGCTCAAATTCATGCTGGGGTAGAAAAACTTTGATTTCCAGTGTCCCTTTATTGCTGTAAAAGTAACCGTGATGTGGATGTGTAATGGCTCTGAAGTCTTACTTGGTAAACGCATGATGTATAACCAGCTCAGAAATGTCTGTAATTTATTTAATTTAATATTGGTTTCGTTCTTTTTTGATAATAAAGAATGTGCGAACAATCATCTGCTTTGTCTGTTGATTCGAGAGCTGCTCCCAACCTGGTATTAAGCATCTCAGGACAGTTTATGCCATGGAAAGATAAGATAAATCATCAAATACAGTACAGGACATGTAAAGAAGGGAACAACAATTTTTCCATCATGCTCCCTACTGAAGCCAGGCAAGACATAACATGTTTTGAACACCTGGCGGGTGTAAACCCTGTCAGGAGCGGGGCTGGCACAGGCCGGGACACGGCTCTGTGCCCAACTCGGGCCTCACTCTCAGCCTGGTCCTCACCAGTGTCCCTTTGCCCAACTTGTGGCCTGACACTGAACCTGGGGATGCTTATTCCCCACGGGCACCCCTTTTTCCCCTCAAACGCCCCATCATTTTGGGAACAGCACCCCAAACCCCAGCACTTTAGCCTGGAGCGGGCTCGAGGCACGGCCCAAGCCAGGGTGAGGGGGTATTCCCATTATTGCTCGCTCCTGTGTGCTGGAAGCCCCTCATGGGGGCAGACACCGTTCGTCACGGTTCCTAAACGTCCCCTCGAGCTAAGAAACACGCGATTTCACGGAGGAGAGAAAAAATAGCCTCGCCCTGTCCACCCGCCCGCCGCCATTTCAACTCTGCGGCGGCGCAGAACTACAACTCCCAGGAGTCCTCGCGGAGAGGGCGGATCCAAGCCTCCTATTGGCCATCCCCTCGGGCGGGTGCGTGTCGATTGGCGTTCGGCCACGCCCGTCCGCGCCTCAGCGGGCGCAGGGCAGTGGCGGTCAGAGTCCGTGGGGATGGCGGGCGGTTGCGGGCGGCGGCGGGCAGCGGCCTGGGCCGTGGGCCTGGGGCTCTGCGCGGGGCTGCTGGCGCTGGTGGCCGCCGTCCTGCTCCGTACCTACCTCCTGCGCGCCCCGGCCATCCCCCGGCTGTGGGCGCGGCGCGGCGGCACCGCCGCCTTCAGTGCCGGCGAGAGGCTGGAGCTCAAGGAGGCGCTGCGAGGTGAGGGGGCCCGGCGGGCCGCCCTGGCCGGTCCCACTCTCCAGGCCCCACCGGCGGCCTGTAGCCTCTGTGTCCCCCCCTTCGCCTCCGTGTCGGGGATTGTTTCCCCGGCCTGGCAGGCTGGGGCGTCCCGAGTTCGCCCTGGGGCCGCCGGGGCCTTCTGTGCAGGGAGAGAGGTTGGCATCAAGGGCTGGCCGTGGGGATGGGTGGGAACGGGGCAGCAGTGAAGGAGGACACTTCCTCAGGTGCTTTCCCCTTGGAGGAAACGAGTTGTTTGTTCTCCCGAAGCCAACTTTCTTCCCGTGTTGATTTTCTAAAGCGTTTCCCTCTCCTACTTGCAGAATGTTCCCGGCACTCTGTGATTGCATTTCTTGGCATCTCTGTGGCTGCTGGATAAATTGCTGTTGGGTTTTGTTCCTTTCTTGCTGGCTGGGACCTCACACACCATCTCACTGCAGGCAGCCTGTCCCTAACAAGTTGTGGTGTGTTTCTGCTCTCTGACACAGTGCTCTGCACAAAACTTGGAAGATTTTTAGATCTTGTGAGGGTTGGCAGTTTGCAGGAAACCACTCTGGCATGAAGCAGTGGTCCTTGAGTGTTCAAGTAGGGGCTGGGTGCTGTAAATCTCACATTGCTGGTTTGGAAGATTCATTGCCTAGCAAATTCTGTTGAAATGCTTTTTAATGGGAAAATGCAGGGTTTCTATTGTGTTTTTTCAGCCTAGAGAAAAGGAGGCCCTCTACAACTCCCTGAAAGGAGGGTGTAGCTGGGGGTGTAGTCTCTTCTCCCAAGTCTGAGGCAGTGGGATAAGAGGAAATGGCCTCAAGTTATGCCAGGGGAGGTTCAGATTGGATATTAGGAACAGTTTTTACACTGAAAGGGTTATTAAGCCTTGGAATGGGCTGCCCAGGGAAGTAGTTGAGGCACCATCCCTGGAGATATTTAAAACCTGGGTTGACATAGTGCTTAGAGACGTGGTTTAGTGATGGTTTTTATCAGAGTTAGGCTGGTGGTTGGACTAGATGATCTTAAAGGTCCCTTCATACCTAGACAATTCTATGATTCTTGAATAATAAATATGTGACCTTTAAAAGAATTTGTAACCTCACTTGCCAGATGCTCTTAGGAAAGACAGCTGTGGTTGGGCCTGTGTTATACCCATGTTTTGTGTGACAGTGACTTGATGCTGAGGAGCAGCCTTGTCAGACCCTGTTTAAATGACAGAGCAGAGTAGAAGGAGCAACAAAAGACCTGTCCGTTTGTATATCTTTAGGGGATGGAGCACAATGAAAGAAGGTGCTGTAACACTCCTGCCATCATAACCTGACTTTACTATTGAAAAAGAACTTTGAATTGCCAATTAAGCTGCCTGCTTAGCTGCCAGAATAGTTTATTACTATGAGGAATCAGTTCAGCCTAGCAAAATGCAGCTGCTTCTGAACAGTAGCATTTCTAATAACATCCTTCAGCACTTCAGGATGAAAAATGGGGTTGCAGTATCTAGAGAAATACCTTGGCTGAAACTGGAAGGAAGTACTGGTGTGCTGCACATGCAGAGCTCAGCTGGACTACAGCAGCCTTTTTTGATAGTGGCAGCTCATACTGTCCTTGGAAATAGTCTTAAAAGCCTGGAAAATATTCAGGAACATAAATATTACTTTTTCTGTTGAAACGCAGTTCGAGTATTGTTAGACTGATTTCTGTGTTGAATGATTTATACTCTGTATTTCGTTGAAGGTGCTATTAAAATCCCAACGGTTTCCGTATCTCCAGAGGACTTGAATACAACTGCCATGGCAGAATTTGGGAATTACATTCAGAAAGGTACTAAACTTTCCTTCTTGGCAATCTGCTGCTCAGTTTTATTTTTGTAAATGGATTGAAGAGAGTGTATATGGTTCTTTAATATAATGAAACAGATTTTTATTTTGTTTTTCCTCAAGAAAGGAGTGGCAAAAATGGCACACATAGGTTCTCTCTGCAACAGTGTGCTTTGGTGTAGCAATGGCTAAAGCTGCAACAGAGGAGGTTCAAAAGTCCTTTTGCAATGGTGGGTTTTGATCCCTGGGATGGTTAAATCACCTTGCTATTTAAAAATAAAAATTAAAATAGGAAGACTACCTCTGTTTTAGCCTGCTTTTTGGCAGTTCCATCATTGCTACCTGGAGCTCTGATGAACAGCAGTTCCTGGCTTTGCTTAGGAAAGCCTTAAATACAGAGAGAGGTGGGTTGGTTGAAGTGTGAGAACGAAGCTGCTCATCTGCTTCCTGCAGCAAATTTGTTCCTTGAGGCTAAATAGATGACTACTCTGTGGAGTATATAGTGATAAAATTGGGCATTACTGTTAATTTTTCTTTTTCATGTGTTTTTAATTTTTTTCTTAACAGTCTTCCCGGCTGTATTTTCTTCAAAGTTCATTCAACATGAAATTGTTGGGAAATACAGCCATCTCTTTACTGTTCAGGGTTCTAACCCTGAGCTGATGCCCTATATGCTGCTTGCACACATGGATGTTGTGCCTGCTCCCCCAGAGGGCTGGGATTTCCCTCCTTTCTCAGCTGCAGAGCACGAAGGTTTCATCTATGGACGAGGAACGCTGGATAACAAAAACTCTGCCATAGTACGTCACCTTGGTAATATCGTTTCAGAGAGATGCAAAACCTGAAAAAGGCAGATTGGAGAAATCTGTTCTCTTCAGATTTACTGTATTATATCCCGAGCCCCTCTTCAAATGCAGGATGTTAGTGATAAATTCCTAAGCCCTGCGGTTTTCTCCTAACTCTTCCTAGAGGTGGAGTGGTCTTTTATTAGGGGGGAAAAAAGCAGATTTAAAACTCTTAGAAGATACAGAAAAACATATTCCCAGCTGCAGATGTATTTCATTAAATGCCATATTTAAATTTTATGTCAGATGCTGTGTTTGAAATCAGGGATAGACCTTTTAGTTTTTCTCAGGTGTCATATGGGCATTCAAAGCAAAACTTGGCCCTTTGAAAAGGCTTGAGTTTCAGAATAAACAATTGTTTATTTAATATTACAGTCAAACAACCTTGTATTGTGTATTAGCTAGTCTGTGGCAGAGCTGTTGTATGAAGTACGTTTGGGAGGAATAAAGTACCAAAAAGATTGATCTGTGAAGGATTTCTCATTTGGGAAAAGGTTGATGGAAAAATTAGGAAGGAGAATAGTCTTTTGTGACTTGCAGGGATTTCTTCCATGGCAGCACCTGTTTAAATTTAAACAGATGTTTGCCAACCAGTGTCACGGATGCTGTGGGTGCTTGTTGCGGCGTAGGCTGTACTCCTAGAAAGTTTCTTCCAGTTGTTTAATCATCAGTTTCAAAGCCTGGCAACTTAAAACCTTGCTTTGGTGCTCCCTTCTACTGTGAGCTGCACAATTAACTCCAGAAACGGACAATGAAAATCTACAATTTCAATGAACAAGGAAAAATGGGTGTTCATAAGGTAGAGGCGATGTAATTTCTGCTGAAGTGTAGAAAATTAACTAGCTTAAATTGAAATCAAAGAAAAGGTGAGATGAAAAAATACAGCAAATGGTAGATTTCATTTCTAGTTCTTCAGATTACATTTCTCATTCTTCTGTCTGTGTCTTCTTAGATTTTTGTACAAAACATACTGCTTATTAAAATCAATGGATTTGGTAGCTCAAGTCAGAGCCAGGCTGTGTGTAGGATAGGCAGTTTAAAGGAACAGTGAATTCCTTGGATAATTACAACTCTGTGGTGCTTCCTGTGCAGTTTGTCACTGACTTCAGCAGCAGCAGAACAAGCCTACACTGTGTTTTGTGTACGTACACTGACACTCTGCAGCACACTCAGTCTTAAGCATTATTGATCAAAAATATTGCAGTGTGTTTTCCAGAGAATATGAATATCATCAGTAGGAGTTGGAGAAATAAAAGCTCGACTGTGAACAGGACAAAGTCTCCTTAAGGGCTGTGAATGCATCCGATTTCTTTTACGCTGCATTGCATTCTTTTACATTTATTCTCCTCACTAACACACAGGAATAGTACAATACATTATGTTTTTTTTCTGCAGGCTATTCTGCAAGCTCTAGAATTTTTGCTGAGAAGAAATTACAGACCCCGCAGATCTTTCTATGTTGGCATTGGGCACGATGAAGAGGTATTTCCTTTCATTTTATCAAAACACCTCGTTGTTTGCATTGTTCATGTATGTAACAAGGCTTAATTTTTAAACATTGTTTAGCTAGAAAGTCTTTCCTGTTTTTCTTGGTTATGTGAGTAGATGCTGTGTCGGACACGTGGTCATAGTTACATATTGATTGTTTGGCTTTAAGTGACATTGACAAAGGGTTTGGTGTGATGAGCAAAGGGGAAAGAACACAGCAGAGTGTTATTTCAAATTCTTTTCTGCATGGAAGGTGCAGCAGGAGTCATGTTTTGGACAATGTATAGTAGGTGAAAAGCTGGCTTAAGATTTACGTGGTTGTTCTAGTTGATCAGTAAACAGTACAAGGAGACAGATGAGGTGGTTTTGTTTATTCATTTTCCAAATATAAAGACAAAGAATTGTTAAAATTTGAAATGAATACCTGTTTAAAATGACTAATAAATCTGTGGAGCTTATAGCTCTGACGTATCATTGCATCCAAGAGCTAGCAGGATTCAAAGCAACATTCAGTGACTTGTGAATGGGAGCGTCCCTCAGTGTGGATATAAATTCATCAGCTATTACCATTAACAACCTCCAGTGAATCCTGCCAGGAAGAATCTCATTGATGGGTTGCCCTAGAGCTGTTTGCTAGTGGATTTTGCATACTTTCAGTTGTAGCACTGGTCACTCTCAACAGCAGAATGTTTTCCAGTAGTCTTCCTGATGGCATGGCTTAATCTGACCAGTTCCTCTGACTGGTTTCTCGCAGGTGTCTGGTTGGAAGGGGGGAATGAAGATTGCAGCTCTCTTGGAAGCAAGAGGAGTGAAACTCTCCTTCTTACTAGATGAGGGAAGCGCGATACTAGATGGCATCATTGCAGGAGTGCAGAAGCCAGTAGCTGTGTAAGTAAAAACACAATTCACTGTGATGGAAGTGATCCATTTTCGCTAATTAATTTGGGAGAAATGACCTTACTAATGTCACTGAAATATGTTTTCAAGGCTTGTGGCAGTGTTGACGTGGCTACAGCAGTGGCACAAAGTGCAAGCCAAGGACCTCTGGGGTTGCCTGCTGTCCATCCCAGCTCTGCTGACAAAAGCAGAATGTTCCACTTAGTGCAGGCGTGTTAATTGTCTGCTGCAGAGTCCGCTCGCTGGCGAAGCAGCCAAAGACATCAGTCCTCCAAACACTTAGAAATTGTGTTGAGGATTTGTCGTTGCTGCTGCTTTGGTTTTTTTATGATACTAAAAATATGCAGTTGTTTTTTTCACCTATACTCTGTGCATGTGTATTTGGAATTGCATTGATCATTTATTTATTTATCATTGACCAGAATTGCTATCACAGAAAAGGGTTCAATGACACTGAACTTCACTGTGGAAAAAGAGCCAGGACATTCATCCTTTCCTCCTAAGGAGACAAGTATTGGCATTCTTGCAGCAGCAATGTCCAGGTGAGAGCTTCCCTGTCATTTTAACACCCAAGACAGTCACACAGACTCCTAAGTCACTGATGTGTGACTTCTTTTTTAATATTTGTATTTAGAGTATTTTGCAAATTCCCCTTATTTTTTTGAAATTGAAGTTTGTAGCTCACTTTGAAGGGCAGGAATGCAATCCCCAGCAAAGGGACGATTGCCAAAAGTCTGGAGTGTCTTTTCTCTTCCAACTGTTCTAGTGTCGGTTGATTCCTTGAAACCAAGACAATTGGTGCATCACAGTGTCTATGTCATTTACTCTGAAGCAATAGAGATTGCTTTGCTTGGGTTGCAGAGTTTCTCTGGCATTTATTCTTGCAGATTCCTGCTACCTCTGTCTGGTAATTATCCAAGCCAGAAAACATGGTGTAAAGTCAGAATGTGACTGGGTAAATCATCTCATTGCATGTCTGTGTAGGTATCAAATTGGCTAATATATACATATTTTACAAAAACTTAGTATGTACAGTTACAATGGAATTTGGTGTGATATTTTTGTAGTTTTTCCATGTATTCTTTATAAGAGTCAGGCTTTTTGATTTTTTTCAGCTGTTCTTGAAACAAAATCTTTGCTTGTGACTGGAATGCTCAGAAATCTGTCACAGAGCTGTACTTACAGATTTACTTACCAGGAGAGGAAAGTGTGATTGCATCTCAAATACATGGATACGTTTCACAAATCAAATTCCTATCAGCCTTCTGGAGCAATAATAACTAGAGATTTTTTTTAAATTTCCAATGTTGATTTGCTTTGCTGTAGACTGGAGCAGAATCCCTTGCGCAATCTCTTTGGCCATGGGCCAGAACTGATGACAATGGAGCACCTTGCATCAGAGGTGAGGAAAGAACCGTAATTTCATTCTCAGATTTTCATATTAATCAGTAAAGAGTAACTCAACATATGGATTTAGAGCACAGTTATGTAGTTCTCTGGCCTTTCTCCCAGAGAATTCTTTCTGCTGGAATTATTTCAGCCGTAGCCAAGTGACTACGCTGCCTTCTTGAAAACTAGAAACTCTCTGATTTCTGGTTTTATTTCTTCCACTTAGTTCAGGTTTCCTCTCAATGTCATCATGAGCAATCTATGGCTGTTTTCACCTATTGTCAGCAGGTAAGAAAATATATCCTTGATGACCATTCCCAGCCTCTCATCCCTAAAGGGTGAAGACCACAAGCCGTTTCTGGTCTTATAGTTTAGACATTGTCGGGGCTTTACTGATCATAACCACATTGTTAATTGAATAGGCCATCATTCAGCTTACTACCTTTGTAATTGTGGCATGTTTTATCGATGTTAAACTTTGAAAAATGTTTATTTTGGTGGTTTTTTTCTTTTTTTGTAAGAGTTCTTGCCTGGAAACCATCCACCAATGCCTTGATCCGAACTACAACAGCAGTCACCATGTTTAACGCAGGAATCAAGGTAGCTTCATTGTGATTTTTCTCTGTGTAGTACAATGAGACAATTAGGATATTTGGTTTCCACATGTGTATATCCAGCTGTGAGATCAGGACCAGAACTGGTCTTGGACCCCATGTGGTGTCACCACCAATCTCATTTCTACTTTACATATGGCTTGGATATAGCTACAGTTGAAAATCACTTCCTTTCAGCAATGCCTGATCTCTGTGAACCACTGTTAAGATTGTTTACATTTCAGGATGGACGAGAAAGAGTGGTTTTTGTGTAATCATACAAAGTATCAATGACAGTTTTTGAAGCTGCTGGATGTGGTAAACACTTCCCTCACCCAGGTGGGGTCTTGCGTTTGTGTGCAGAGATCTGGTGTTTGCCTTCATTGGGGTAGGGTCAGTGTGCACCTTGGACTGAGAGATAACAGGTTCTGGCTGATACAGCCAGATCTTGTCCTGATAAGGAGGTGTAGTTACCCCAAAATACTGTAGCCCTGGAAAATAAACAGGCTGTTTGGTGTGTCCCTGAAAAAAATCTGTTACTGGAAAGCATCACTGGACAAAAAAACCCAAGATAGAGTGGCTGAACAGTGACACTGAGTGGCCAGGAAAGAAGTGACACCCTGGTTTCTTGGGTTTTTTTCTAAAGATTATACTTCCTTTGTTTAACAAAATTACAAATATTCATTCTGTAGAAGAGTTACGTGTCTTCAGTTAGATGATTTGTTAAGCAATTTGCATGTTTCATACTTGGGGAAAGATAACGTAACTGGTAAAAATATTGCTTAAAAAAGCCAATGTAAACTTTCAGAATTTCTCAATATAAAGCTGAAGGGAGAGGTCTTATCTCAAGAGGAGGACTTCTTTATAACAGTTAACTTCTTTTTTGTTGGAATGATGGATGTTTCTTTGTGTGGTTACCTGCATTATAGATGAGATTTACAGCATTTTAACAGAGTGTGTAAAGAGATACCACACTTGATGTTAGTAGAAACAGCGAAGGGTTACTCTGAGGCCTGGAGTTGCTTGAGCAAGTTTTTGTCCTGCTTTTTTTTCTAGGTAAATGTTGTCCCATCTTCTGCAAAAGCCACTGTGAACTTCAGGATCCACTCTGCAGGTTTCTGGGTTTGCAGTTGGCATTTCAATCAGTTTTTAACTTCCCTTTAAGTTCTTGTCCTGCTTTTTTTCTAGGTAAATGTTGTCCCATCTTCTGCAAAAGCCACTGTGAACTTCAGGATCCACTCTGCAGAGACAGCTGCTGAGGTACTGGCTGTACCCCCAGGTGTGGGGTGTTCTCCATCCCTTTCTGAGCAGAGCAGCTCTTGGTTGTTGTGGTGGCAGTTCTGGTTTATAAGAATATTCTTCATCACTCCCTGGGTTCTTAGAAACAGCAGAAGGGGAAGGTTTAGGAATTGCTCCTTCATGGAGACTGTCAGAAACACAGTTTCTCTTACTCCTTTTCTCCTCCTTTGAGATGGATTACAAAGTGCTTTGTTTTCTATGGCTTCTGACTGTGGGGCAGAGCAGGAGGCAGAGCAGACTATCTCTACTCCTTTCCTCCTCCTTTGAGATGGATTACAATGTGCCTTGTTTTCTATGGCTTCTGACTGTGGGGCAGAGCAGGAGGCAGAGCAGACTTGGAAGCACGCCTTGCAGTTCATCGAGCAGATTTCAGGTCTTTTTGTGCCAAAGAGCACATGGATCGTGTGTGATTATGGAATGGAAGCGTTAGGATCTGTGAGCTGTGACTGTGGTGATCTTGCACGTTTCAGTAGGTGTGATGTGCCTGTCCAGCCAAGGACAGCTGTGAGACATTGTCAGTAAGTAGTATTCCTTCCCTTCCTTCCCTTCCCAAGCCTTTGCTGAAAGTTCACCTCTCTGGAAGCTTCTTCTGGATTATTTACTGAGATGACCTAACTCCCAAGTAGGAGCAGTCTGACCACCTGCCTTTCAGGACCGGAGCGGTTCAGGAATGTGTTGAGACAGTGACGTGCATCTGATTGCACAGGGGTTAAAAAAATTAGCTTTAAGTATCAGCCATCAACTGAGGAAGAGGAAGAGAGGCTGCCACACAGTTCCAGTCCTAACTATGCATCTGTATTTGCAGCCATAATTAGCAGTTCATGGACAAATGTTTTCTGGAAAGTGGGACATTTGCTGACACCTAGAAGGGATGCTCTCTCGTTTCTTTTACTTATTTAATCTCTGTTTTACCCATAGGTGCTGGAGGCTGTTAGAAACACTGTTGCTGATGACAGAGTGAAGATTGATGTAGTAGATGCCTTTGACCCGCTCCCCATCAGTCCTTGGGATGACCAGACGTTTGGAGTCCATATTTTTCAAAGAACCATTCTGGATACGTTCCCAGATGTTGACAGTGTCGTCCCAGGTAACAGCAAACACATGATGATTATTGTTTCCTCTCCAGCTTCCACCCTGCTTTTCTCTCCCCCATCCTCCAATATTGACTTGTTTCCATTTTCTGTGTACTTCTCCACCCCAGCTGTTAACTACTGGAAACAGCTGGTTTTTCCTCTTTTTATTCCGTTCCCTCTTTATGTTTTAAAAGTTTTAATGTTGTTTTTTAGTAGTGGAAGTAAAAAAGCAAACAGGAAACTGACGGAAACAATGAGCCTTGAATTTGACTCTCTGAACATACAAAAGAATCTCTTCAGGGAAGAAAGGAATTGTGAGGGAGAGTAGGAGGTCTTCTTGCTTTAGCTCTTCTTTTATTGTTTCCATGGCTGGCAAAGCCATTCCTGCTTTTCTGTATTGTTCCTTATGATCCCAGCCCCTTTCCTTTCTCGCAGCTCCTTCCTAGTGCTGTACTGTTTGTTGGAGTGCAGTTGGAAGCTTAAACTTCAGTGGAGGCTGAGTAGCATGACTGGTCTTAGAATGATTGGATTGTACGTTCAGCTCCTCCTGTTTGTGAAGGAGAGACTGTTCTTCCAGGATGTACCAATAAACTGTTTCCAGTGATTTTGGTGTAGCTGGGGGTTACATGGAACTCTTATCAGATGCCTTTCCTTTCTCCTGGAAAAAGTGTCGGTCATTAAAATTGCTGCTCTCGTGCATAGTAATCCTGAGGTTTGTTTTCCAGGCACGTGTGTTGGAAACACAGACAGCAGGCACTTCACTAACGTCACAAACGCCATTTATCGATTTAACCCCCTGCTCTTGAAATCAGAGGATCTTCCCAGGTACCGTGTGCTGTCTGCGTGTGGGCAGCTCTTTGGGGTGGGGACTGGTGAAAGAGAAAATCAATCTGTGTTAGGCAGAAGAAGGAAACCCAGCCTTGTATACCTTGGCGTGGTGGTGCCTCACTTTCTGTTAGGCCACCCATTTCCTGCAGATTTGGGTGCTGCACAAACAGGGGGTGGTAATTGCACTGGGAGAGTGTTAGGCTTTTCTCTTCTTTACTTGAAGCACAGACAAGACCTTGTTTAGGTGCCCCATTCAGTAGCACAGCAATGCTGGGAAGCTGATTGGAGCCTTCAAATAGCACAGCAGTGGGAAAGGTGGTGTTCTGGTAGTCAGCCTTGTTTCAGAGATTTATCTGTATGCGTGGGCACATGCCACTCTGAATTTATTTGCTCCTTAAAGCTGGAAGCTAGGTTTCCTGGAGAAAGTGATAACATGATAACAGAAAACGCTATTGTGTGAGGGATTGTTTGTTTAGTACTAGATTTGTCATTTTATTGAGGTGCAGATGGTACAGGAGTAAAGTGTTCTCAGGAGTAGAGTTTACAGTCCAGTGATATAAATGACCAAGAAATGGGCAGAGAGCCGGAATACTGTTTTTTCTTTTCCACATACACCATTAACTTAATTACTGTGCTCTGAGTCTTAGAACTAACAGAGAACTCCATCGTGTGAGGGATTGTTTGTTTAGTACTAGATTTGTCATTTTATTGAAGTGCAGATGGTACAGGAGTAAAGTGTTCTCAGGAGTAGAGTGTACAGTACAGTGATAGAAATGACCAAGAAATGGGCAGAGAGCTGGAATACTATTTTTTTTTCTTTTCCACATACACCATTAACTTAGTTACTGTGCTCCGAGTCTTAGAATCAGTAAATTTGGCTGGCCTGAGGGGCAGACGTTGCCGACAGTGTGGTATTTGGTGTACATTGCTGTGTTTTTACATTGTGCATTGCTTTATGAAGTGAGAGGCAAGTGCTGGGTGTATGCAGGAAAGTCACAAATGCACACTGAAATGAGAAACTTTCTTTTTCTTCCAGGATCCATGGGCTGAATGAGAGAATCTCAGTTGAGAATTATGAGAAACAGGTCGAGTTCCTCTTCCAGCTGATGAAGAACTGCGATACGGAGAAGCTGCCGGAGCCTCACGCAAACTCCCACGAGCTGTGAGAAGAGCAGCTACTCAGGTGGACTCTGGGATGGCAGGGGATGGGCTATAGCATCCAGTTTGGCTTTTGTATATTGTGGTTTACATACAGATGGAAAAACTGCTGGTTGCTGCTTGAGGCAAATGTAGGGTTTGCTGGAAAGTGATAAGAACCTGGACAAAACACAACGAATAACGCTGGTTTCTCTTCCTCCCTGGTCTGACATGCAGCCGTTAGTCTGATGGTATTAATTTTTTCAGTGCTTTCTTTAAGCCTCTGAAATTGGTAGTCACTTAAAAATTCTAAGCTATAATCAGCAGTCACTTGCCTATCAGTAAAAGAGGGGAATTGTCCTGTGTGTGCTTTTGACAAACTCATTTTATACAGTTGATTGATTTTTCATAAATGATGTGTCTTGTCAAAAGCCCACGTGAAAGATTTGTGTCGTGGTGTAGGTTTCATGTAATTGGTAGAATGACACTAAGAGTTTGTGGCCCTGCTGCTCAGTCTGGGCTCCTCCCTGGGTGATGGTCTCAACCAGGGGTGGTGATAACTTGGTACTGCTGAGTTCTCCCATGCATGCACTGATTTCTGACTGTTTTAAAATACTGAGCTCCAGAAGTTCTAGCTATGTTGCTTTAACTGATGTTCCCTTCGTCTCAGAGGTGCTGAAAACTTTTCTTCCTGTCTTTCCAGTGTCTCTTTGGTTATTTTTTCTGTCTCTCACTCTTTGGTATGGCCCAGGGTATGTTGTGCAGTGGGCTGTCAGAATAAGGAATTGCAGTTTTAAATAAGAAACTAAATTGGTGTTTTCTGCTCATACGTTTTCTCTTATCACTGAGTTGGTCTCTGTAGTGTGTGTTCTCTTTTGCTCCTCTGAGAACTTGATAGGGAAAGATGGTGAAGCCCTTGAGTTTCTTCCAGTTTTGGGGAGCAGAGAGTGTGCCTTCGCTGCCCGCCTGAGCGGTTTTCACTTCACACAGTGATTGTATTGACTCAGCTCTTTGGGAATCCTGGTGTAAACAGGCCATTGACATTGATTCTGTTTCATCTTGCACTTCTTGTACTAGCATGCTTTGTTAGCACCAAAGGGTTAAGCGTTCTTTTGGCCTTGATAGCCTCTTTAGTTGGAGTTACCATTATTAAAGTGTTAAGACCCAGATGTCAGCCAAAATTGTGAAGATTGCTTTGTCACACTGACATGCAGACTCTGTGCTGCAGGCACTAGTGCAGTTCCTCCTGTTGCACTGTTGCAGAGCTGTGTCTCTCTTTTTCAGAGTTTGAATTATGCACTGGAATGGGTGGTTGTTCTGCTCTAAATTCATATTATAAAATGCACTGGAATGTACAGGAAATACCCTGAAACCTATCCTGAAAAACAGCGATGGAACTGGGATTCCTATTCTTTCCGTTCACCGTTCTCTATTTATTTGCAGTCTGATCTTATCAGTATGGCCAACGGGGTAAAACTGCATCAATCTACTAAATAATTGAAGCCAGATTGCCATTTTTATCTAATAAAACAAGGAATGCGGATTCTTTTCGGATAATTATTTCGTCTTTTTATGTAACCGTATAATTGCAATGAAGTCATTTCCACACCTGATTCTACACTAGATCAAGTCGTAAAGTTTCCATCAAAACAAATCCACATATTTTCCAGCCTGCTTTCATCTTTGCACCCTCCCTGGTGCACCCCTTTCTGTACAAAACGAGCTAACGCTGTTTATGCATTATTAGGTAGTAAGTAGCTTGCATCTTTTACGGTTTGTTGCATTTTGTCTGTGTGCTCTAACATCATTCATTTGTTTAGCCACACGTCTGTGGCTCTTTTGTGAAGGTGTCATTCCTCTTGCAAACTCCCGTTGCAGACACAGCGAAAGTGATGTGTCAGGGTACAGCACAGAGTGAAATGCATCCCTGGGAGTGGGAGGTAGAGGAAAATTGTTTGGGTTTTTAGACAACTGAGTCTAAAGCCTTCACTTTGACTATGGCAGTATAGGATCAATATTGTTTAACATCTTCATTAATGACCTGTGCTCTCCCATTACCCATCCTTGGCAAGTTTGCAGATGGTGTGAGACTGGGAGGAATGGTTGACTTGCCCAGTGGTTGTGCTGCCATTTGGAGGGACCTCGACAGGTTGGAGAAATGGGAGAGCAGGACTCTCATGATATTCAGCAAAGGGAAGTGCAAAGTCCTGCACCCGGGGAGGAATAATCCTGTGCTGGGGACTGGCTGGCTGGAAAGCAGCTTTGCAGAGAAGGACCACAGGGTCCTGGTGGACAGGTTGAATATGAGCCAGTAACATGTTCTGGAGGCAAAGGAGGCCAAAAGTGTCCTGGGAGTGAAGATTAGGTGATGTCCCAACGTGCCTTCCAATCTCAACCATTCTGTGATTCTGTTGTAGGGCACAGGATGTGAAAATCCTAACTCAGATCATGCTGTTGTGCAGTGGAGGCTGTGTTGTAGTAGTGAAGAAGGGATTCATTGCCTGTTGTAATAGCAAATGGGTCCTAAAGACATAAAGCATCCTCTATATTTTGTAATCTGCCCCCAACCAAAAATCACTCGTCTCTGTGTTTTGGTGAGGATTGTTTCTCTAGAGAACATCCATCTGAAGATTCATTTTGCTGCTGAAGGAAAAGTGAAGGGCAAACAGCGCTGGGGAGGCAGGGTTGTTTTTGGCAGGTACTGTGCAAATGTCTGCCATGAGGTTTTGCTAATGCAGCTTGTTGAGAGCCTCGTTAAGGGTTGCTCATCAGCCAGTGCTGAAATCATGCAGTGCCTCTCTGCATTGAGTAAATGTTCAACAGAGCTTTACTGCAACCTGAAGCCACGGAACTCAAGTGCTTGAAGCAGATCTATCTTGTAGGATCGGATGGTGAAAAAGCACATTCCCCCCCTCTGTCCATTTTTCCCAGTCACTTCTGATAATCGTTTGTGCTTTTTTCTGTTCAGCAGCTTTGCCCTTAGTATTCCTAAGCCTCCTTATTTTATCACGTTAGCTGCCATGTCACACTTATCTGGCACAGTTCCGAAGAGTCACGCAATGGTTTGGTATCTGCACAACCTCTCCTGACAGAACAGCTTGCTTTCCACCCTGTTTTACTGCTCCTGTGATATATTTTCAGAGGACATCTCTCATTTTGAGTGGTATTTGAAATCTTGGTCTCATCATGTAAATAATAGTATCAGGATCATGTGCTGGCCTTTTCTGCTAAGATGGTATACAACTTTGCATTGTGTGAGTAGTTACTTGATAATGCCAACTACATCATGAAAACACAGATTAATAGTTCTGTGAGTTATTCTTTTTTTTATTTTTTAATGAGTCACTGTGCTTTGAGCATGTAGAGCAATTACCTTTGATTCATCAGAGAAGGAAAAGCCTGATTTTTCTGCTCCGAAGACACGTAACTTGGTGTCACACCTAATGGGGTTGTGAATGCTGTTTGTATTAGCCCAATTCAGATGTGTTAACGGGGTTCTGTTATATCCATAGCAACTTCCCTTTTTCTTCCTCCTTTGTAGCCAAGTCTACAAAGCTGCTGTTCTTCTGACAGCATTACTCAGAGTAACCTGTGTGTAATTGTCCAGCCTGCTGGCTGGGAGAGCGGCTGATCTGGGGTCATGCGGGCCTGCCTGCTGCACGATGGAGAAAAGGTCACATTCCACACCTGCATTTTCTAAAGAAAGCTGTGTTGCTGGCCTCTGTTTAAAAGGACGTGGATTATTTTCAGCGCCAAGTGACCATGGAGAGTTCAGGCACCGAGCTGGAGGAGAATGCAGGAACAAGGTGTTTACAAAGTTGTTTCCTCCAGCCTTGCATTTGACACTTGTGTTCTTGGCTCCTCTTTTGCCGTTTTGTTTGGAGCTGGTGAAATCCAGTTTCTCAAGCAGGTGCTGTAGAAGCCTTCCCACTCAGGCCACCAAGCCTGAGCCTTACCAGTGCCACAGAGAAGACATCCACTGAGGAATTTGAAGGCTGCCCAGTCAGTGGTGTCCTTTGCTGTTACAGAAAAGCAGCCCTTGCTTGTAGCTCAGCCTGTCACCCTTAATCCTGACCTTCGGTGGTCTTCAGTACTACCTGCTGCTGTCAGGTTGAACCCTGCATGGATCCTTGTCAACGCGTTCAGGCCTCATCCACAGCTCCTGTGCAGAGTTTGTTAGCAATCTGAAACTTTTACAGCCATATTTGTCACTTCAGTCCCCAAATTCAGGCTCTCGCAGTAACTCTTCATAGAAACTCTGCTGCCGTGACCTGTGAGGTCTCCAGTACAGCGTTGCTAGTTGGATGCCACCATCTCTCAGTGCCCGTAGCAAGGCCTAGAGGCTTGCAGAAGTGCTGGCCAGGGAATTATTTGGACAACACAGTGTCAGTTGTGTGTCACCTGAGTTGCCGTGCAGGGGGGCTTGGCTCTGCTTTCCGGTTCCCCGGTTTGCCAGGGCAGCAGGGGTGGGGGAGATAAAGAGCTCAGCGTGGTGGGGAAGGGAGGGACCCGGCCTCGCTCGGTGGAGATCGCTCCGGCTGATTTCAGAGCCGTGATGGTGAGCCCCAGAGGAAGCTGCAGTCACTTCTCAGCAGGAAGGAAAATGACCACATGGAAGGGTGGTTAGTGCAGGGGGTAAGGGACAAAGGGTAAATGTTCTTTGTCACTGATGGATTTACCTCTGAGGTGGTCACGGCCCGGGCAGTTGGGTATGAGAAGCAGTGTGCAAGTCATATAGCATATCCCAGGGAGCTTTTCACACATCTTTTAACTTACATTTTTAATCTAACACAATTGTGTGGTTTAATGTAGCCCTGTAAATCCTCAGATCACTTTAACGCTGCGCCTGATCCTGTGATAAAAAGGCAACCACATGGAGGGGCCTGGCTGCAGTTCAGTCATTTAACTGAGTAACCAAAAAAGCTCCTTCTAGTTCATGGCAGGAACCCCCTGCTTGGTGACTGTGCTGACTGTGTGGCAGTGCTGAGGCTCTCCACATGCTCCCTGTCCAGTTTCCACAGCTACAGCAGGTTCTTTTCATGTTTTCTGAACGGTGAGGATGATTAGAGAAAGGCAGCAGTGGATTACCATCACACATTGATCCAGTGGCCAGAGTAAGGGATATGAACTTCTCCAGAAAGCCCATAGGAGAGAACCTGAATGGTTTTTTTTCCAAATTATAACTGTACTGCAGCCACTGCATCTGGTGTGTGTGTATCTTTAATTACCTTTAAACCTAGTAGCTCACCTACTCAGCTTGCTCCAGCTTCAGCATAGGTCTTTCTGAGAAGCTCTGTGAGTACTCAGGAAGAATAATTATGATTTGCCCTGGAGCACTTTTATCCTTCCAAGTCCACTTGGATTTTTAATCATTACTACAGTACTGTCTAGTTGTACGGAGACACCAGAAAAGGTCAATCCAATGTCCTCCTTGGGATTTTTGTGAAGTGAGAGGGTCATCATGGAGTAGGAAATAGGGGGCAGTTAAGAGATGATTTTCATTTATTTTTGATGATCACTTTTTTTTTGATACCAGCCTCTGCTCTGATCAGCCTTGTGGTGTTTGTGCTTTCTTCGGCCTAATTTCTGAATATAAATGAATTTGCAGCTTATATCCGGAACGAAGCAGAAATGTGAGGCACGTCCTGCGTCCCCCCGTGACAGGTGTCCCTGCTATCGCGGGGTCATCAGCTGCTGCCACAGGAACCGGTGGCCTCGTGGAACGCAGGAAGCGAGGCCCTTTCAGCTCCTCTCTGCCAGATGCTCTCACGTGGCAGAAAGCCCTGGGGATGTACCTGGCTGAGGTTGACCTGTGTTTGTCACAGCAGGCACAGCACGTGGCTCACACCTGAACACAGTTGGGAGCGGTAGTCGTTTGGACCTTGGAAAAAAGGATGGTGATGGTTTTGTTTGCTTCCAGGCTGGTAAAACAGAACTTCCGTGCTCTGCGTTTCTTCTCCCAGATCAGGACCTGATTAGGGTCAGCTGCTGATGCTGTTGCCTGCCCTCATGAACTGCTTTTGCTCCGGACTGACATCTGGAGGGGTAAGTCATTATCCATAACCTATTCAGTCTTTGAGTTGTTCTGTTGGGATTCCTGGTTACAAGAAATCAAGAGTTAGATTTCCTCACAATCCTTGGTCAAAGGTAGCTGGGACTCCATTCAGATCAGGGTTTAGATGGGAGCTGGAACAGGGAGCAAAGGGTTTGACAGGACACTGTCACATTCTATGTTAGGTGGGGGTTTTAAATGACTTCTGCCAAACAGCTTCATTTTACTGGATTCTTCTGTGAAAAGGGGAAGGTCCTCCTACCTAGGCCATCACTGAGAGCTTGCCCAGAGCTGGATGGCTGTTTATGTGGCTGCTGTAGAACATACGGGCACGATCCTCCATGATCTCGTGTAGCTCGATGGTCAAATCTTTCCATTCCAAGCATTTTGTTGCCTTTGGTACCTGCTGCCCTGCAACTGGAAACCCGTTTCCTGCCCTTTCATCCTCTGCCTTTCTGATCTCTGCGCGGCAGTGTCGCTGGTGGGGGTTTTATCTATTTCTGTTTTCTTGTCTCGGGCGGCTTTTGTCTCCGCGCTTCCACTTCCTGAGCCTGCAGCTGGTGGGGCTGGTAATCAACAAGGTCACGTTTTGGTGCGCGTTGTTTTTAGGAAGGTGGGGGAAGATAGGGATTTTCCAAGCCAGGAAGGAAAGATGAAGGCGGAAAGAGAGCCCTACAGAGCAGGTTTATTTGGACAAAGGAAAAGGGAGGCCAAGGTTGGAGTGGAGGCAGGATTTGGAACTCCAGTTCCAGCCTGAGTGTGGGACTGCGCTACGGCTTTCATTAAGACATCGTCTCTGTGTGTCTCGAGTTTTCCCTGATGTCCCTTTGCTGGTGTCACAGCAGTAGCTCCTGAGAATTAGTGAGATGACTGCAGATGCTTGTCACCCCTTGAAATAGGGGGTTCCAGCAGAGTGTGTGGCAGCAGTTGGGTACTTCACACCGGTGACTGTCCCACGGTGAAAGCAGCACTCTGCTCACCTGCTCTGGAAATTCAGCCTTCTTAAAAGAGACATATTTGCAAAAGTTTTTTGGGCCTGAGGAAGTTAGAAGACTTAAGTGGGTTTATCCAAGTGATCTTGCTACTTCATATAATTACATATCCTGCTCTGCTTCAAGTGCGTTGGTCACCCTTTTTGTGGAATCATGGAATTGTCAGAGCTGGAAGGGAGCTCTAGAGATCATCTCGTCCAA